TGAAAAAACACTAGGTTATTCGTTTTAGATGCGTCCACACGCACTCCAGTCACGTCGCACCAGGCTACGAACCTTGCTAGGGAGCGCCGTAGAAGTTTCAGAAAATTCCAATTAAGTAAGGTCGCCTGCAAACAGCAACCTTGTCGACTTCACATCTCCTACACCGATACACCCATTTCCTTAGTTGCTCCTGACTATTCTATCCATGTACAACACAAACAGGAGGGAAGGACGCAGCCTAGGCGGCGACCAGTGCCAACGTTGAAAGTTTTCGACATGATGCTCTTTACTCTGGCGCAGCACCTGCCATCAAAATACCGTGATTGGATGGCCCTTAGCAGAAGACCATCTGTCCCGCATGCTCGCAGGCATGACCACAGACTGTTCCGGTCATACGCTTTCTCTGAGTCCACAAGACACATATACACCGGCTGGGCGTACGATTTCTCAACAATCTGAAGCAGGGCAAATATACGATCAGAGGTGCTTCGACCGGGCCGGAAGCCGCACTGCCCTTCTTGGATCTTGAGGTCAACTGTTTCACGGCACCTCCTTTCTAACACCTTTGCGTAGACTTTAACTGGGAGGCTCAATAACGTAATGCCCCTATAAATGGAGCGTTGCTTGTGGTCTCCCTTTTTGAACACGGGTACAGTAACTCCAGTTCTCCAGTTCGCTGGTGTCTTTCCCGCAGTCATCGCAGTTTGACAAACACGTGTAAGCCAGCCCATGCCTTGCTCGCCTAATGCTTTGAGCATCTCAGGACGGATTTCATCAATTCCGGCAGCTTTTTCATCCTTCAAGCTTCTAGCAGGTTGTGTAATTTCATCTACAGAAAAAGTAATATACGCTCCCTGCTGTTCTACAGGCTAGTCTTCCTGCAATTGTTCGGGGTCTACGAGGTCCTCAAAGTATTCTCTTCTGAGTTACATAAACCTGCTAAATGAGACGAACTCTGGTTCAAAACGTCACGCTGTTCCACACCTCTTTTGTGATTCTCTTATGGAAGGACGTGAGGCAATGGTACATCACCTACCTAAACACTTCATTGTCTGTTGGAAAGGTTTGAAAATATTGCTTTGAAGGTTAAATTGACACGGTGGGATTAACATCAACGTTGAACAGATGGACCACCTAACGTTTGCTGATGAAATGCTGATGTCTGTTGAAAATGTTAATTACACTTGATATTGCTAGAGCTCGAGAGAAGCAGTGCAGAAGTCAGACTGCGAGTCAGTCGATCAAAGACCAAGATACTGCGATAGAATGCGCTTCTCAAGACCCGTCTAATATTGAATGGTAAAGACATCGAACAACTTTGACAAATATATTTATCTGAGCCGGGTCATCAACAAACAGCAAAATCAGGCTAGAGAGATTCAAATGAAAACGGGTGCCGGTTGGCGCCCGTTCTATTTAATCAACAGGCAACATCAAAATGGGACCGTCGTTCACATCTTCAACTCTACTCTACTTCCGGCAATATTGCATTGCCGTGAGACGTGATCACTCACTAAAGTCAAAGAGCATCAGCAGTCTAGCACCGAGAGCCAACACAGTGGTCAAACAGCAGATGGGAATGACGAACACTGTCGCCGAAAGTAGATGGAAAACCCCTCATGAGGCGGGCACGAAGCTCGGCTCACCGATGAATGATTGCCTGTCACGATCGTCGACTGGTGTCTCCGCGGGCAGACTAGGTTGCGTCACCGCTCAACCACTACGGTCGAAGTATTAAATCAGGAACCGTGAAAGCCGTTCTTGAAGGGCGAAAGCTTGAAATCCCGAGGAAAGGCGAATATGTTGCTGCTGGCGCGACTTGTCGCAGATTATTGACGGGTCCTAGCAATCAAAGTGACCGTCTGAAATGGTGTTGTTTGAAAACAGAAACATTAGTATCATTGCAAACATGCAGACTGCCTAATCTGTGATGTCCGCTCAAATTCACTTACGGTGTTTTTAGCTGTTAACTGCTGCGAAGAGCGAAAGTTTCCTATCCAACAAGAGATCACCGTTTAGCTTCTTTCGATATGCTGGCCACCGATCTTCCGCCATACTTGCTTGGGTTTCCATGTCAATAGCTAAAGAGCCAATGAAACTTCATCAGTTTGTCTGACATAACTGCACAAGTCTGAACTTAAGCTACGAACCCTGCTCCAAGTAGGCTTGTTACTCTGGAAGAAAAATATATCAAAAGTTTCCTGCAGGTGGTTCATGTATATAACGCTTCGGCAAGTCACAAACAGGAAGATAACGCATAATATAAAATAAATAGAGTACTCTGAAGACGGACCGAGCTTGGTCCGAAACGTCAGATGGCCTTAATTAAGGAATGTATTATATCATATGTATTCTGCTTGTCGCAATGTCCGTTAGGATTCTCGAAGCCCCACACACATTGAAGCAAGACTAATGAGTTCTTTCTGTGTGCAGTAACACAGTTCGACTACTTTGTTTCATCGCGATTAATTTTGATCTGTTATAGTGAATATTGCGCCTAGTGCTGGCATCATGTCCGGTTACTTCAATATACTTTATACTTGCGTAATGCTTTTTCATTTCTTTACACTTTCACTCATTTATTCGCCTGATCTGATTATTTCTCTTCTCTTACGTTACCGAAGGTTGTTACTGTAATTCTCTTCAAATAGTAAATTCGTTGCAGTGCTTGAATTTTGAAGGCCATAGTCATGGATTCGTTCATAAACTGTTTTAATATTATTATTTTAATGATACTTTTTGTTAACAGGCTTTAACTGATATTTCTTTGTTATCCATTGTCTCAAAATTCTTTACGATCTTGTTCAATGCAAACCTATTTTTTGATATGCACAAAACTGCGTCTTGTGCATCAGTGGCGTGCATTCTGCGAATCAGAATGCTATTACTGTAAAAACATGTTAGCTTAATGACATTCGTAAAGTAGTAAATCGGAAGGCGAAAAAGAATGACTTCGGAGGTGCAGGAGATGTAAGCTAATATTTTAAAAGTATGTTCTGTCAGAAAATCATTCCAGCTATTTGGAGCCTAGTCAGGATGGAGATACGTTCGCAATAACTTCTTCGAATGTGAAAATAAATACTTCGAATGTTGCTGGTAATTTGCGTGACAGCTGTAAAGTAGGTGAAATGTAAAGCTTTAATCGCTTCAGTATTAACTTTCCAATAAATTTTCTACAGGTAAAGTCAAACACCATTGTCGATTATGGCTGGGAAACGACTTATTATCCTGGTCATTTGGTGTCTGTACATATGGATGGCGTGCTTGTTGCTTACATCTTGCACAGTAAGTTCGTTTGTATAGAATGAAATGTTCTTCAGAAGTTTGTTCATTGTCTGTTTTCGTTAGAAGATAAAACTGTTTATATTGAGATGTTATGCTGCTACTTGTTAAGTTTGCCAAATACTCTGAAATCAGTCCTATTTTGTTCATCGCTGATAGCCTTTATGATTAATGCTGGGTTTTCATAACGCTTATGATTTTGGAAATTGCCCGTTGAATCAGGATTCATGAAAGATTTTTGTATAAAATGCGTTCTATATAGTCGATAAGGAAAAACGATGACGTTCGACATGAAGTTAAA